TCCATTTGATATTCTTCCCTTCTGCTATGTCATTTGTTCAGTGCCTGTTCCTATCATACATATCCCCAGTGTTGTCCCTTATACCGCTTTTTTAATGTGAGGCAGCTCTGAAAAATTGCTGAAATCTTTTTGTGGTTACCACGCACCTCTTGATTTCCCGCTAGGCCCCTTACAATTTTGAATCAAGGAGTATTTTTACTTCTTAAAAACCATATGCCTTCTGCTGAATGCTCTGGGTGCATATTCAGTCAACTGTAACCATTTCAAAATGAACTGCCACATTTCAATTGAAAATAATCCTCCCACCTTCCCACGAGCACTTCCTTGATCTTCTCCTCTTGTCATATTTTTTCCCTTGTCACTGTGCTGACATTCCCAATCTTCCTGAGTCAAGAGGACCTAATAAGATTAATTGGATGTCCACTTGCATTTCACATGAATCCTGGCCCATTCATTCTGAATGTGTGAGTGACATGAAGAATACACCTGGGTATTTACCTCAGTTTATCAAATGAATGGTATCACAGTCTTGGTAAAATATCATGGCTTGAGCCAGCCTTGTAAATGGAGTTGCTGGAATATTTCTGAGTCATTTAGGGAGTTTGGATTGATAGAATTTTGCCTGAGTAGAGGAAAGATCTACAAAGTCCCCATTGAACAGGTAGAGAGAAGTGACCAGTCTCCTTCTCCAGAGGGTTATGGTCTGCCCTCTTCTCCTTGGCTTTGTCATTGCTGATCCCCTTAACAGAGCAGCAAGGTGGCACAGTGGATAGAGCATTGAGCTTCTAATCAGGAAGGCTCATCTTCCAGAGTTCAAATCTCACCTCAGACACTTAATAGCTATGTGACCCTGGGCAAATCGCTTAACCTTGTTTAGCTCAGCTCCTCATCTCTAAAATGAGGTGGGGAAGGAAATGGTAAACCACTCCAGTATTTTTGCCAGAAAAATCCCAAAATGGAGTCATGAAGAGTTAGATATGGATGAAACGATGAAACACACACACACACACACACACACACACACACACACACGGCTTTTAGAGCATGTCTGCTTAGTTATTATTTTCATTTTAAAAATTTATATTTTATGTTCACTTCCCAAAATATCCTTCTCCATCCCCTCCTTTGGAGTCATCTCTTATGGCTACTTACTTTTTTCCTATTGCTGATGGAAGAATGCTCCAATCAGTCAATCAACAGGCATTTATGAAGTGATTTCTGTATGCCAGACATTGAACTAAATTCTGGGGATACAAAGATACTATTTGGGGGCATAATATATATATATATATATAAAAGTATAGCAATAGGTATTGGACTTACAATATTATTGCTCTTTGATGAGGCAACTCTTTCTTCCAAAGCAAGTCTGTACCTTCTCTGCAACTTAAAATCTCAGTTACTTGAGACACTGAGATATTAAATTACTTAGTCACAGAGCCAGTATGTATCAGAATCAGGACCTGACCACAAGTTTTCCTAGTTCTATGGCCAACTTTCTATCCACTGTACTAGACTGCCTCTCTATAAAACAGTGTATGGAATATCTAAAAAATACACAGGTAAATACAAGGGTTTTTTTTGGAGGAAAGGCACTAACATCTAGGGGATTAGGAGAAGCTTCGTGATGAGGTAGTGCTTGAGCTGAACTTTGAAGGAAATTAGACATCCTGGGAGATGGAGGTGAAGATGGAAGTGTGGTTTAGGTCTGGAGGAGATGGGAATGTCTGCTATGAGGAGCAAGCAACAAGAAGGCCATCGTGGCTAGATCATTGACACTTCCTATGGCCTCTTTCTTTGCAGCATCACATCACTTCACCAATGTGTTCTCCAAATCAGTGGTGTTAAACTCATTTATAAACAAGGGTCACTACACAGTGCATAAAGATCCATGTTGGCACATAATGACTTAGAAAACCACTATTAATATTATCTATGTTTTATTGTAATTTTATTTAATTTTTGTTCAGTATTTCCCAGTTGTATTTTAATTTGGTTTGGGCCGCACTCTGGAGTGTTGAGGGCTGTTTGACACCTCTGCACCAAATCACCCAAACCACCACCCCCTTACAATTTTCTTCTTTGATGTTCTTTTCTCTCTGGGCCTTGCTCTACTAATTTAAGTTAATTTCACGTTAATGGGTTAATGTATGGTTGTTTGTACCAGGGTGACATTTGTATTTTACATGGGGTGTTCTAGAACCAGTAACTTGACTGTGTAGATAGTGACGTAAAACAGTGGGGATTTCTCTTAACTATGGCTTTCCTCCATAGAGGAGAGTAGGTTGGTGAGTGGGACTTTTCATAACCTTTCCACGTTACAGAGGCAGAAAGGTAGGGCTGGCCATTTTGTGGTGGTGGTAACCAGTTCTCCTTATTTGATTCTTTGCCAGTGGGAATCCTCATGAGAACCTTTAATCTCAATGTGATCACATTGTTGCAAATTTGGTTGCTGTGAGTGTGAACTAGTCATAGAGAAATAGCTCTGATTCAGCCTTGTAGGTCCTCATCCATCACAGGAGTGGGTGGTCAGGAGCTGGGTTTAGTTTGGCTTCTTCCCTAAGCACTGTTTGCTTTACCACGCTGGAACCTCCACGAAGAGTTTGCATTAACCTGATTACTTGGACCAAAATATACATTCTAAGGCTGAGGAGAGTTGTAAAGAATAAAGAGGTCCCCTGATATAGTGGAAAGAACACAGAACTGAAGGTCAGAAGTTGTAGGTTCTAGTCTCTACATTAATAGCTGGTTATATGACCTTGAGCAAGTCACTTCCCCACTCTGGGGCTCAGTTGTCTATAAAAACTGGGTGGTAATAGGTAATCATTAAAGGGGCCTTCTAGCTCTAAATTGTTATTATTGTTGGTTCTTCATTTTTGAAGAGTACAAACAAAATTATGGAATGATATCTTGACTTGTGAATGAATTGGATTTATGTGCGGCAGAGTTGCCAAAGTTGTCATTCTTACTCTCTAAGAGTCATCGAGGTCCAGTGGCAACACAAAAGTCAAGATGACTGGTGGATGGCTGGGGATACAGCTTAACTTCAGTGAAATAGGTCTTGAGACACACTCAGCCCTTAAAGAACTCATTTGTAGATTTAAGGCTTAAAAATGCTGTATTATGTAAGTGTTGTTGACTAGGTTCTTTGGATGTTCGTGAGTGTGGAGAGAAAGCTGAGGGATGTCTCCTTTTTTCTGTTTTAGAGAAAGAAAATCGTTTAATCCATTCATAAATCCACAATAAAAAGCAGACTTAGGTACCCAACTTTAAACATGTTTGATTTCAGCTTTAGAAACCTCCATTAAAGCATGCTGGGTTTCATTTGTTGTTCTCCTTAGGCAGCTTGAATTTCAAAGACCTCATTTTAAGATGCTTTGATCCAGTTTGCTTTTATATGATATCAGCTTGAAAACTCTTCCTTAACCAGTTTTTGTTTTGCTTTCTGTAATTCATTATTGGCATTAGGTGCAGTGTTATTTTGAAGAAATCTTGCAGAATGATTCTGTTGTCTAGAGTGAGCTCTGATGGTCAGTATTCATGGTAGAAATCAGGTTCTGAGCCTGGGTTGTACCCATATCCAGGCTTTTGTCCTCTGTCATGCTAGGGCTAGGATGGAAGAAGAGAGGAGAAAGAGGAGAAAAGAGGAGGGGGAGATGGTCGGGAGGAATAGGGAGAGAAGGGGAAGGAGGGAGGGAGAGAAAGAGAGAGAGAGAGACTAAATGAGGTTTATATTTTTTCTACTATGCCAGTAATTTGGTTAAACCTGTATTCTGTGAGATGGATTATAAATAAACACGACTGATTGATACACATGGGGAGAATGGAAATGAGAGCGTCACTGTAGCTAGGACTACTGAAAGTAAAGCCTTATAAATACAGATAGACGTGATTCCTAAACCAATAGGTCTTATTGTATTGGTTCCCAGAGCCCCCACTGACTAGAAAATAAAGTGACAAGCTACGTGGCCTCAGAGGTTTGTCTCAGTTTCACATTTTTACTCTAATTCAGAACAAATTCAGTAGTACACTGGTCAGAGGTTGGGGTATAAGGACTGGGATGATTTAGTCCAAATGACTGTTGGTTGCCTGGAGTCAGGGAAGACTCATCTCTTTGAGTTCAAATCTGGCCTCAGACATGTAATAGCTATGTGATCCTGGGGAAGTCACTTAACCAGTTTTCTCATCTGTAAGATGAGCTGGAGAAGAAAATGGCAAATCACTCCAGTATCTTTGCCAAGAAAACCCAAATGGAGTCCTGAAGAGTTGGACACAACTGAAAAATGACTGAACATATATACACGTCCCAAGTCTTAATTTTAAATAATAAATAATTTAAATAATAAAAAGTATAATTTTAAATAAATAGTAGTATAATTTAAGTTAGATAACTCAAGCTTAAATAGCTAAAAATTTATAAGCTTTAAGAGCTTAAAACAGCACTAAAACTTTTGGGATACCCTGGTATATACAACTCATAGCTTTAAGATTTACAAAGACCTTAATTTCCAGCAAAAATTTAAAGTAGGTAGTGTGAGTAGTTTTATCTCCATTTTACAGATGAGGAAATTGAAAGTGTGATAAGATCATGTTGCTACTCCAGATTCATTCATCAAGGTCAACTTCAAGGTCCTTATTTCCCCTCACCCCCACCCCAGGCACTCTATTTTTTTTTCTTTTTTCTTTCTTTCTTGCTAGGCAGTGGAGTTAAGTGTCAGGTGTCTGAGGCTAGATTTGAACTCGGGTCCTCCTGACTCCAGAGCCGGTGCTCTATCAGTTGACCAAATAGCCGCCCCACACCCCAGCCACTCTTCTCCCTCCTTTGAAGCTCTTGTCTTTTTCCTCCTGGTAGATTATATTTCCTGGAGGGCAGGGGCTAGGCTCCTCTCTATATCTCTGAATTGCCCCTCCCTTTCCTACCCCAACAGAATTGGAGTTTAGGAAAGATTTAATAAGATTTGTAATCATTGCTGCATTGACTTGCTTTATTTTGTTTGCAGTATTCAAGAAATGCGGACAGGCCGGAGGCTTTGTCAGTCCGATTCTCACCACGATGCTGTCCTGGCAGCCTTGAATCAGCAGAGAAGTGATGGTGTTCTCTGTGATGTCACCCTCATAGCTGAAGAGCAGAAATTCCATGCCCACAAGGCTGTCCTAGCAGCGTGCAGTGATTATTTCCGAGTAAGTGGAAATGAGTTTGATTTTTTCATTTTTGTTGTAGATGAAAGAATTTAGAAATGCAGAGGGATGTTCTAATGGTTTTGTTGTCATCAACCAGTGAAGGACAAGTCCCACAGGGACCTCTGTGATCACATAAGTGATGGGACCTTTTCAAGGTAGGCCCAGAGTCTGGGATCATTCTAAAAGCCATCCCAGGCTGCACTAGAATTTACCTGGAGTTGTTCCAGTTTGGGACAGATCTCATCTCATCGCTGAAGATGGGATAAAATACTATTTCTCACAGGTCATTGGTATTTCACCTCAAATCATGATTAAACATGGCTTTTGTAGTATAATACAAAAAAGAATGACACTTACTTGGTTTTCAGGATTATTTTTTTGGTCTGAATCTCTGTTTTCGTCAGTGTAGGGAATTCCCAGTAAGGAAACTATCTTCTGTATTACAGACTGGCCAGTCGTCTGTATCTTGGAATTCGTAGACAATTAGTTGGTACAGCAAGAGGTTGAGGGATTTGTGTATGCTATACCGCTATTCATGTATGAACCTTCCTTCCTTCATTTCTTCCTTCTCTAATAAAAGATAGGCTCTTTACTTAGTAAGCATTTTTAAGTACATCCTACAAGCTAAGCTAGCTGTGCAGAGCTCTGGAGATAAAAAAAGAAAGACAAACACATGGTCCCTACCCTCAAAAAACTCACATTGTAGTGGGAGAGACAACATGCAAATAACTCTGTATATAGAGGATATCTGCCCACATAAACAGGAGATAATCTGAGAGAGAAGGCACTAACACTTGCCAAGAGTACAGTGTATCTGGCAGCTTGGGAAAGGCTCTTGCAGAAGATGGGATTTCAGCTGTGTCGTAAAAGAAGCCAGGGAAACCATCAGACAGAGTTGAGGAAAGTGAGAATTCCAGACACTGGAGAATAGCCAGTGAAAGTACTCAAAAAAGGGAGATGAAATGTTGTGTAAAAGGAACACCATGTAAGCCGTGTTGTTAAATAACATAGAGAACGTGGAGAAGAGTAAAGTGTAAGAAGACTGGAAAGGTACAAGGAGCCTAGGTTGTGAGAAGCTTTACATGCCAGAGGATTTCATATTTGATCCTGGAGGTAATAGGGAGCCATTGGAGTTAATTGAGTAGAGGAGTGACATATTCATACCTGTTCTTTAAAGATCACTTTGGCAGTTGAATGGAGTATAGACTGCAGTGGGGAGAAACCTGTATCAAGGGAAACCAACCAGAAGGCTTTTGTGGTAGGCAAGGTGTGAGATGATGATGGCCTGCACTCTCATGATGGCTGTGTCAGAAGAGAGAAGGGGATGTATTGAGAATTGTTGTGAAGGTAGTAGGCTCATGTGTCAGTAAGATCCTTTATATGTTACTTAAGTTATGATATACATGTCAAGCTATATGACCTTCTCAGTGCTCAGTCTATCAGGCCTTGAGTTGGGAGCTGTATCTTTTAGAAATTGCTAGTGTGTGTATGTGTGTGTTTGTGTGTATAGTCCTGTTTCCACTGGTGTTGTCATGTATATTAGACTGAACAGTGTTTGGCCCTATTCGTGGGTTCCTTCATAATAGCTTAATAGAGTTAAATGTCTCTTTTTTTCCCTCATCTTATACCTGATAGGTAAGAGATGAGTATGTTGCTAATTGTGCAAACCTAGAAACCAAAACACTTGCTGAGAATTAACTTGTCACATTTCCTAGTTCCTTCAGATGAACCCTTCACACACTGTATTTTGCATTTATGACCATTTCTTGCATTTATGACTTGGCTTTCAGTGCAGCTTTCCTTTACCTGTGAGCCTATTATCAGAACTGAAAACTTGTCAGTGCTCCCATCAAATTCTTACTGGTACTGCCATTGGCATTGGCCTTGCCTTTAACTGAATTCCTTATTGATATAAATAAGGTCTTTATTTATTGGAATGTAGTAGGAACTAGGCCAAAATGATGACTTCCCAACCCCAGAACATTTGGTTGTGAGAGCCTGAGCTATGTTTTAGACTGAAAGGTTGAGACAAGCCATTCCCAGAAAGAGTGTGAACCAAAGGAGGTGAACAGAGAGTCAAGAAGAGCAAGGGGAGTACTCAGACCTTTTCACAATGACTGTTTTTTTCTTTGAACTATTGTGGCTTCTCGGAGCGGTTAGGCCCACCTGTATCTTAAAAGGATGTGCATTACATTTCAGATTTCACCTGGGATCCAGGAATTTGTTAAAATACGTGCGCGCACACACACACACACACAAAATTATATTTCAATATAATTGTTTTCCTTTGTATTTCTATATATTTTATTTTATGCATTTAAAAACATTGTTCTGATAAGGGGTCCATGGGCTTCACCAGACTGACAGTGAGCTCTAGAATATACAAAAAAGATTAAGAACTTTTTCCCCAGGGCAAATTAAGAATGATTTTTGAATAGTCTAGGCTAGGACTTGCTTTCATTGATGGAAATATGATCTATATGAATATGACAGAGAGATGACTACATTTAATAAATTTCTAATTACAAGGCTAGTTTGAGGCTACTGGTCATTTCCTGCTGGGTTTGGGTGGGTTTCAGTAGCATTAAATCCTCCTTTTAGACTCTTGAATTCTGGTTCACTCCTTGGTGTATCAAATCACTGTGAACACTCGTTTGGTACAAAGCATTGTGAAACAAGATAGATAGATGGTCCTTGCCCTTGAGAAGTTTCTAATATATAATGCATGTGGGATGTGTGTGTATAATCACTAATTCCCTCTTCCCTTCATGGGGAAAGGTATGTTCTAACACTTGCAGTTTGGGGAGTCATGCCACCACCCTCTACAGCCTAGATGTCAGTCACTTATCTTTTTGCTTTTTCTCTTGTGTTAGCTTAACACTGCAGCTAACCAGGCACCACTGTGTTGAAGCCACACCCTGTGCCCTTGAGGTTTGCTCTGGGTTTGCACTAGGTTTGCCTCTCTCCTTAACTAAGGAACTAGGCTCTCATATTTCGAATCTGCCCTTTCATCAGGAATAGTTTTTCTTTGGGTATCTTAAGCATAGCGGGGAGTAGAGGTAGAAGGGGAGGAGAGTAGGCAAGTATTGAACAGGCACTTTTATTTCCACAGGTAGAAAAGGGCATGCTAAGCAGCAATGATTTATAGAATGAATATGATCTGATAAGAGGCTAATATTCAAACTTCATTGGGATATTTGCAAACAGCTGCTTATTAGCTATTATATATTTTACTAAGTATAGCCCAATCAATGCTAAATGGCTTCTCATTTCACATATATAATATATATACACATATACACATATATATGTATTTACACATGCACACATATATGTATATATATGTATGCATTGTAAATATATGCATAAGTATATGTGTGGATATATGGATGTATATATAGATATATACATAGACACATATACATAAATGTATGTTTCTTCTTAAAACATCTTGCCTTACACCATAAATTGGAGTAATATTTGTTTTTAAATGAAAAAAAAATTCACTTTTGCATAATACTTAAAGGATACAAAGCTGTTTACACACAGTATCTCATTCAAAGCTCACAATAACCCCATGAGTAAATAGTTCAAAATACTTTATCCCCATGACACAAATGAGAAAATTGAGACCCAGGAAAGGCTCAAGGTCAAAGAGCTCCTAAGTGATAGAGCTCAGCATTTAACCTAGTTCTTTCAACTTCAAGTTTAGTGCCTTTCCCACAATACCGCAGAGAACAACGACATTGCCAATAACAAGAAATGTAAATGGGATTCATTGGCTAGTAGTGTCTCTCCACTGCTTTTACGGAGCAGGTAGGAACAACAGATAATTGTTTCCCAGAAATTGCTACGTGAGTATTTGTCCAGAGTTTCATAACAGAGCAGAGGCAGAGCTCAAAACTCAATCAGCTCCCGTGTGAATGACCCCTTTGTCCATACGATAACCCTCTTATGTTTTTTTTAAAGGATAATTATCAGTTCACATAATTAGTGGTTGATCTTCATGAAAATTGTCATAATTTGATGGAAGCTATGCAGTCATTTACTAAATATCATCTTGGAAGCATGCTCACTTCCAACATCTTCCTTTTCCCTATTAAAGCCTCAAGAGTGCAGTAAAAATTATTATTTTTGTTTGTGTATGTATGGAAACATCTCCTTTCATTTTATATGGCATAATAGCATACTATTCCTTGGTTACTTTCTTGGTATGTGAATTTCACTGTTAAAAAGCACGACATTCATTACTTTCCATCAAAACTGTCCATATGGTCTGGCCTGTATTTAATGACTTTGCCCGTGACATTCAGAGTCTAATGTTGTTGAGTCTTCAGTCCTGTGATTCTTTGTCTAAAAGAGTGTAGTGTGATCACAGGGAGCTTTCACCACTGCAGTCATTGCATGTTAATGCTGGATTCTCTCCTTCCAGTGATGACTATAGTCTACAAGAGAGAGGGAAAAAGTACATCTTACCAAATTAATCTCTTAATTTGGAAAAAGTACCAAGATACCATCCCTGAATGGAGCATGTTGACTATTATGGTCAGTTGTTAATGTGCTCACTTTTGCCTCAAATAATTTTTGAGTGTCATGTTTAAAAATTTTATTGTGCTATATCACCTGTCAGTTATTTGAAGCCTAATATCTATTAGGAATCAAACATCATAAATTGAGAATGAATTAATTAGTCTTCAAGGTGGCATGAAGGTCTTTCATTGGAAAAATTTGGAAGTTTTAGCAAGACTGAGGGAAGATGAATATACAAGTATACCTTCAAAATATTTGTATAATTTATTCTTTGTTTTTTTCCACAGTTATAATAATAGAGGAAACATTTATCTAGAATTTAGTTGTCTTTTGTGGCACTTTGATGGAATTTTAATGATGAACATTTCTAGGCAGTGGCAATATAAGAAAGGTACAAATGTTATTTGAGTAGGACATTTTTATTCCTTTTTTTTTCCTTCTGATGATAAATCTATTTGGTTTTGTGCTTC